CAAAAATTCTCGCAACTGGGCCAACATAAGACATTATGATAAATGGAGAAAAGATTAAAGTTGCCAAAAACTTCATTTTGCATGGATTCACAATCAACGCTCAGGGAAGCAGCAGTCAAGAAATCATATGATGTATTGCATTAGATAAATCTGCACAAGACCTTTTAAAGTATTCAATAGCAAGGACATATCAGTTTGAAGATTAAGGTGCAGCTGATAGAAGCTATGGTATTTTCAACAGCCTCATATACATGTCAACGTTGGGCAGTAAGGAAGCCCACAGAAGAATTGATGCATTGATGAATCTGAGTTATGGTGTTCAGGGAGATTATTAAAAGTACCATGAACTGACAGAGGAACAAAATCCAGATGGTTAGACTTTCTCTCTTATACTTCTGGCCTATTTATCAGGAGGAACTAGTCCCTAGAGAAGGACATCCTACTTGGTAAAATGGAGGATCATCAAAAGAGACGAAGCTTCCCAACAAGATGGACTGACAGAGTGGCAGCAGTGATGGGCTCAAGGTAAAAACAATTGTGAGGATGACACAGGACTGGGCCATGCTTCGTTCTGTTGTGCATAGGTTGGCTAAGAGTCAGAACCAACTCGACAGCACCTAACAATAACAAAAAAAGTGTACTACTTTGCCAATACAATTAAATGCATTTCCCATATGTCAAAGTCAGTAAGGGACTAAGTTAAACTATTAATTCCATATTACTTAAAATTCCGATTATAAAACTAAACAATACTTAGCTATAAGGCTAATGATTGTGAGGACATTACAGTACTGGACAGTGTTTTTTCTGTTTTAAGTAGGGTCGCTATGAGTTGGACCAACTCAATGTCATCCAAGAACACAACAACAAGCTATCAGGATGGTAAGAAGACAAAACAACTTATTTTAGGAATCCAAGAATGAACTATAAACCTAGTATAATCATTAGAAAGTTCTTAACAAATTGAGTAATAATTCTCAATGTATTTCAGATATTGATTTCCCATGAAAATAAAATAATCCAACCCAACTGCAGAACAACCAGAAATTCATACCGATGGAGAGGTGGCGCAGTGGGTTAAGTATTAGGGTACTAATGGAAATGTCAGTGGTTCCAACACACCAGCCTATGCCAGAGAAACAGTAACAGGATCATCAGCAGCAGAGCACCTGTGACAGTCCTCTTTACATATAAATGATTCTTTCTTTCAGAAAAATGTTTAAGTGCCC